TCCGGACCTGGATTTATCTGACTCCTGTGTTGAGGTTTCGTAAACAAAAGAATACAAAAATTGTGAAAGGAAAGATTCCTTAAGAAGCTTACTGATTTGAACAATCTGAGGATGACTGACAACTGGCATTTCAAAATACCGTGCAGTGACGGATAAAACGTCGTACAGTGACGTCGTCCTCAATGCAGCATATTCTTGAAGCAATGGCCCGGGAAATCGCTTTCTGGCCATTGCTGGATTGGCTTCTGATACTTGAGCTTTTGAGGGAGTGTGTCTATTCTTCCCGTTCAATCAAATCTATCCAAAGTACAGCAACATGACAGCCCTTCGTTTAATCTGGGGTCTTCCCTAAAACATTGGACAGTGATTTAAGGTATTAAAAACTGTGAAAGTATTGTTCGCTTCCAAACAGCATTGTTTACATTGTATCCGTTTAGATAGCCTCGTTTGTCACGCAATTAGTTTTTCTGCAATATTCTGCTATGCACTGGTTAATTGGGCATAATAAAATCCTGAGTCATGACGTAACGTTATGTAAACATATTATTTGGTCCAATTTGGAGCTCTGTTTAAAGCGTAATGATATTGGTTGTTAATCGGACTATTGACCAATCATAATTTGGAACAGAAATTGACTTCTATTACAACAGTGTTATGTGGGATTAGCTCTAATCAAACGAAACACTGCGAGGAGTATGTCAATGCAGTGACAGTTGAAACGACCGTCGTCCTCAATGGATGTTATAATCATCACCTTTTTGCCTGGCAGACGATATTCCCCGAATTTAAAATGCACCATATTAAGATGGCTCGTATAATTATATATGCATTTCAAAAGAAGATACATACATGCATATAAATATATTATTTTGATTATTTATTGTGGGAACCTCGATTCAGTTACACCATTGTAAATCTGGCTAAGGGAAACGGTTTATGGTGCTGCAATCCTTTCGTGTCATCGTGCCACAGACCTACATGTAGCATATCAAAGTCATATGACTTCCACAGCAAAATACGAATAAATATGTAAACATCATAGGAAATCAATTTACCTACACTGGGAAACTCATTCGGCCGCATGCGTCAATTTATTTTTTTTATCATATTTTGTTACAACCGAGTGCGTCTGTTCTACCTTCCCTTCCCCATCCGTCTCCATAAGCGCGGCTGGTGCAACAAAGTACGACGTTATAAAGCCCATTTCATTTTGATGTTCATATTTCAACGTAAAATGTTTTAGTAAGAACACATTCAGACACGTCTGGCTTCTGTTGGATTTACAGTGCAGTGCATAGGCAGGGTCGATTTAATAAAGAGAGAGAAATGGGATTTAACGTCCACACGACACAAACTAGGTCAATTCGGGAATAACATGGTTCAATTTTTATTCCAATAATTCGCTTGCGCGTAGGGGTCTTTAGCAGTGGCGGGAAACCGGAGGACCGGGAGAAAACTGTATCATAATGGCATACCTTATGATACAGTGCGCACGTGCTAACCATTCGGGTACCCCCCCCCCCCCGCGCCATCCCCCGATTTAATAAAAGATGCCGTTTCACAAGCACTTCCGATTGACGACGAACGTTTAGCATACGCCCCCACAAAATATAATGTGTATAATGTATAACACGTTTACATTTACTAAAATTTCTGTAGTAAGAAGGGCAATTAATGCCCACTTTCCGATCAGTTTCCGGGGGTCTACCTATTCCGGTGAGTTTCTGATGCCCTTTCTTCGTTTAATCGACACCCCCTCCTTCTCCTATATATCGATCCAAAGATTTACGGAGCCGCGCTTGCTGACCACACTCATTACCACCAAAGTGAAGTTTTTCTTAGCTATTATTTACGCTTGTATATTTCGCTTAAGATTTTAACCAGTTAGTCATCAAAATCACGTACGTTGAAAGAAATAAATTGTAGTAGACTTACTAACACGAACTTATTCACTTATGAAGATAATACAAGTACTTGACCTATTATATTTAAGCTATGTGTCATAATCTCAGACCACATTTTATATGTATAATCATATTTTTAAAATGGCAATTTGACGTCATGTGCAGATTATTACTTTCTATAAGCTTTTGTATGCTTTTTTATTGACAAAAATAATACGTAAAATGGATAATTCATTATAACGGTATATAATTACATCTAAAATACGATAAAATTATCCGTTATGGTATCATACCGGTTGTTAATTTTAACTACCAATTTACAATAGATGAATTAGCACGATTCGCCTATATTGTCACAGTATTTAGATATGTGAGAACATTAAGTATAATGGATGTTTCCGTAACAATGACAACACCTGACCCGTATATGTTTATTATACAGACACCTATCAATGTACAATATTATCACTCAAGTTATTTGAGTATTATTCATTATGCACCCCATTTAAACTCAATACATTTCGCTGAGGTGAGGGCTAATTAAACCTTTTTACAGCTATTTTGTAATTTTTCTTTATGTTGTTATAAAGAGTTTTGTCATGCACGTTGATATTTAGAGGGAGCATAATAAGGACGATGAAATCTACAAATCAGTTCTCGGTGGTGATGAATAACGGGTTACTTATGAAAACAGTGAACCAAATGGATATTAAGCTGATGTTCTTTAACGTGAGTTCCATGCATATGGAGTGAAATAAAATAAAATGGGCTTTAACGTACCTATACTTTTCTGTACCAACCGGACAAATAAAGATGCGCAAATGCCAACATGTGGCAAAAATAATACCATTTTGTCATCGTGTCATTCGTCTTTTATTCTTTTACTGTCCTAGCAGAAAATTCCGCTTTTTTAAAAAGAAAAGTGCCATCCTACCTCAAACACGCATTGCCAAACGTGTTATACGCGCTAAACAAAGGAAATTAAATGAAATGAAATGAAATGAAATGAAATGGGGTTTAACGTCTTACTTTTCTGCTCTGCACTGGCCTAATGAAGACGGGCATACGCCATACAGTGTGCTATGAGGCACTGTCCAACCTCGTGGGTTTTCTCCGGGTCCTCCAGTTTCCTCCCACTGCTAAAGACCTCTACGCGCAAGCGAATTATTCTAATAAAATTAAAACCATATTATGTTAGTCCCGAAATGACCTAATTTGTGTCGAGTGGACGTTAACCCCATTTCTCTCTCTCTCTCTCTCTCTCTTCTGCTGTGGAAAATCGCAACCAGTTTAGATAAGCCACTCAACCCCATCTCTCATTCCATCGAACTACATATTTTTGTTAATACTTCAATCTGTGCAGTTATCCCACGTCTAATAATTTTGTTGTTTTTTGGTTCGTTTGTTTTTTTTGTTTTTTTTAAAGGGCCTGGGACGGACATTTTGATTTTAAAAATGACAATTTATATCAAACTACATGTATTGTTAAAGGCTTGGTAATTTAATACTAGTTTATTCATTGAGAAAAATATATAACCAGGATGTAGTAGCTTATGTATTTTTATGCAATTCATTCTTTCTTTTAGACCAAAATCTTTTTATACCTACATACAACTTATAATATAACAAAGAATAGGATCCGTTTTTTTTGTTTTGGGGTTATTTTTTGTCTTCTCAAATTCATCCTTAGGTGTGCTATGCGTAGCAATGAGGCAGATATGGTTTGTCACGAAACACCCATATCGTCGTAAGACAACTATAGGCCAAATCCGTGTACTTATCAGATAGGACCTTTCCCTCTTTGATTTAAGTCAAAATAAAGTATTTGGACTGATTTAATTTGTTATTTCGATTAATGATTAGCAAGGTTTGTGCAGTAAATGTTCTGTTTCGAACGGAACCTTATGACTCAATTATAAATATAAAGCCCCCCCTCCCCGCCGTTTACGCCTCATGGAACACAGCAAAATATTTCATAATGAAATGGCAATATTTACCTGCTGGGGCCCGGTTATACTGACAATGACGAGGGCCTCAAACGGAACGAGGACGGGAAGTGGCCCTATTGCGCGAAGGCCTGGGAACATGGTCCATATTTTTTAATTCACTAATTTTTCCCAAAAAAGTGGACTGACAGAATCCAATCGTAATCCTACCAACGAAATGAAATGGGTTTTAACGTCCGACTGGGCTAATGAAGACGGAAATATACGCCATACAATTTGCCCAGACAGCGGCACTATGACCTACTCTCATATCGAATTCCATCTGCCAAGGGATTTTTTACGCGCCCGCCAATGTATACACGGGTCTTCGGTTTTTCGTCCCATCCGAACGACTAGACAGCTGTCCTTATCAGGTCCTCCGTCCTGCACCACTGACAAGAAGAAACCACGTCGGAAAATCCCAATGAATACTACCAACGCCATTAGGTACCCACATTCAAAAAAGTCACCAGTTTTCCTCTACTTTACGATTAAGTAACATTGCATTTCTTATTAATTTATACCAAAACTGTTTGTAAACATTACTCGGCATACCTCCTGGCCCCTCTAGGCCCCTGGACAAGTTCCCAGCTGCTCCCCCCCCCCTCACGGGCCCTGAACTTTATTGTTAGATCACCTAGCTGTGATCTATATAAACCCCTCCCCCCCCCAAAAAAAACCAAAAAAACACGCATATTAAGATTGTTCAAATAATCAATTTTTCTTTGTTTGTTACTGGTTATACATGTAAAATTATACAATATTATTTCTACGTAGTCGTTCTGCAGGTTCAATTTGAATGTCCTAAAAGGTCTGAGTCATGATTGGTACTACAACACTTGGATACATAAACAACAGTACCATAAAGTTGGGCGCCAAACGGGGCGTGGCCGCGTGGGGGAGGGGGACGTTATTGAGTACTGTTAATACCAATTTCTTACCTTGACTAGTTACTTATTAACTAAAAAATAATTTACTTTATTACTCATATAACGCGACCAATGGTGTTGATATACATACGTGTACATGACTCTGCAGAATTGTTTTCTTTTTTCTTTAGTGTCATTGCCTGATTATCACGACTCTTTACATAGTGGTACACAGTAACAGAACCTACGTCTGGATGCGTTGACGTGTTTATTCTAAAAATAACCGGGAGTTATTGAAACCACGTGACTTGTGTGGTTGTTGGTGAACCGTTATGTATTTGCCATAAAATTGGGTTTGGTTCATTTGGATAACATGCAATGAGATTAGTAGAATAAGGTACGTATTATACATTCGCATATCATGCAATGATTAATTAATAGATATTCTGGACATATGAATAAACAGATAACAAAAGAAGATATCTAACACTATTTGGAAGGAACAGCGATTACCGTATTTATTTACTCATCATTATAATAGGCTATAGTACATTTGTAAACGTCAAGTTAGTAACATTGGAATGTCGATAAAAAAAAAATTACTTGAATTACTAGTTGTAAACATAAGAATTAATTTGGAAAAAACGCTCTGCTTTCTGGAAAACCATTTATATATTATGGACCGGCAAACAAAAGTTTAATCTTAAGCAAAGTTTGTGTGTAATTATCAATGGTGCCACAGGGCATAAACCGTCATTAAATAGCAATTAAACCTACAAATTTACGAATTAGAACTGTATGTGCAGGTCATAGATTAGAATAATTATCAACTTATTTATAATTTTGTCATTGCCGGATAATTATTTTATTTTGTTAAACTTTATTTTACCACATTAAGTGGCAAGTAAAAAAAGTGTTGGTGATGTGCTATTTATTTATTCTATAACTCAACAATATGATAACTCTTTGATTGAGCACATGATAAACGGTATTATTACCACCAATCCAAAGCGGATTATAATGGACATGCCAGAGACGTCAGTCTACAACTCAAAAAGATACTGAAACTTCGATAGTCCTTAACATTTGCTATGATGGGTACACTTTGACCCACACATAACACCATGGGCGTGAATTTAGGGGGGGGGGGGCGGGGACAGGTCGCATAACACAGGCTGTCAATATGTGTTCAGCAACTTAGAATTGTCTTTGGGAATGACCACAGTTCTGATGAGCGTGTACATGTAACAATTAACTATAGTCTTCAAAAATAGTAGGGAGGGAATAGTCAGAAACAATACAAAACTGCGGAAATGCACTGCTGTTTTTATTAGAGGTAACCAGTGTATATGTTAATAACAGACCAATTGCCTACACATGAACATAAACAGTTCATATTGGCGGCTTATCTGACGGCCCCATTTCACTCGCAAAGAGATAGCCTACACTGTCAAAAGTGAAAATGGACGTGTTTGATTTTTGTCTTAATAATGAGTAATTGCTCCACCAATCCCCAGACATTCAGCAATTTGTTGTGGCATGCTCCTAATCAACCGTCTAATCACGATTTGGGGCAATCTGACCCACTCCTCTTGCAGTGCCACGGCCAATTCTTGCAGTGTTGTCGGTTGACGTTAACGTCGACGAACACGTCTCCCGATCATGTCCCAGACATGCTCTATGGGGGAAAGGTCGGGACAATATGGTGACGCTGGAGGTAGGCATTCATGACACGAGCGCGGTGGGGACGGGCATTATCATCTTGAAAGATGAAACGTCGACTTGCACTTTGAGCGAAGGGCAGAACTATCGGTGCCAGGATGTGGTCACGGTAGTAAACACCATTGAAAATTCCTTGAACAATATGCAAGTCCATGCTGCCAGTCATGGAGATTCCTCCCCACACCATAACAGACCCACGCCCGAATCTGTCATGCTGTCTGACGTTAACGTCAGCATAACGCTCATTTACCCGCCTCCAAATGCGAGCTCGCCTGTCAGTGAAATCCAGAGTAAATCTGGACTCATCTGAGAAAAATACACATGCCCATCGATGATTACCCCAATTTCTATGCTGCCTACACCATTGACGCCTATTTGCCAAGTGTGCTGGCGAGTTAATGGAGGCACAATATGCAATCGTCGCGCATGCAAATGGGCTGCATGTAGCCACGTGTATTGCGCTACTGCGTGTCGCATGTGCAGCTCAGTGGTTCTGTTGAGGCGATAAGTTCTTTATCTGTGAACATACTCTCAAAGCATGTCAAGTGTCTATAACTATTTATCATATCACAACCTGCATAGGTATTTGCATTTCAATATCCCCTACTTTTTTTGAAGAGTATATAAGCTCACAGCCACAGGACAACCAGATAGACAAGACAAAACATAGACAGTGTTAGCTACAACAGACCAAAAAACACATACATGTAGGATACAATCATGCTATATATCACCAAAGCACATATTTAAGATACCTTATGTAAGATTTAGATAAGGAGCTTGCCATTCTTGCTATAATAGATCCAAAATAGATAATGCAAAATGAATATATTGAAAAGTTCATTCAAATTAAGTTATTCTGAGCGAAGATATTTGAAGGTTTGTCAAGATGTGTGCAGATTGTAACCACCGTACATGCGTATAAGCCTCGCTTCACCATTTTTATGGTAAATCATTAAATGACTGAACCTTTCTTATCGGCTTAAAATCAAACCAATCTTATGGCATCAGGAGTTGATTATGATCTTGTCATGTTAAACATACATATTGCAGGTATTTCTTTAGGCCTGAAATGTTATACTGTATAAACTATTAAGTAGACATTTATTAACAAAACAAGGCCATAATCAACTCTCAATGGCATGGGATACTCAAGATTTTAAGTAGATTAGAATGGTTTGCCATTTAAAAATTTAATTTAAAATGCGAAAGCATTTTACATGATCTATTTTTGAGCTATTATAGCAAGAATGGTCAGCTCTTTATTTAAATCTTACATAATGTATCTTTAATAAATGTCTAATTAATAGTTTATAAAACATTTCATAGCTTAAGAAAGACCTGCAATAGGCAGATTTAGCTCTTGCATAACGCCCTTTTCATGTAATTGTAGTAGGGTGGTATATTCTCTTTAAGTATTTGGTGTGATGTTCTCTTTAAGTATTTTATCCAGTTCTATTGTCCTGTATATCCAGTAAGTTTTGTTTTTCCAGTTGGTATAATTAGTTTAGTTTATAGTTTAAACATGTTATTTTAACATGGTGAGTAGTATTCGGTAATTTAGATACTATCCTAACATCCTGTTTCACCTTTAGTCACTTTTTCTCACATCTCCATCTTGGATGCATCATTTTCTGAATTCACTAACTCAGTGTTTCGCTCTTTTGTACATGTATATATGGTTTTTCATCATACATTAGCTCTATAATTCTTCATTTCTTAAGAGCACCTTTAACAGGTGCTCTTGTCTTCTACTTGTTCTTCTTTCTGTAAATAATTGGCTGTTTTGTTCCTGTGTATTGTAAATAAACTGTATAGCTGTGTTCCTGTCTTTGTCTCTTTTCGTTCAACCCGCGACCTGGAAAGTGGATAGTCCGTTGTCCATCGATCCTGCTACATAATGTACGGTATATAATTTTCAAGATTGTACTTTCTAATCAGTTATGTTTGGCGAAATACCTGAGCAGTCCAAATTGAATAGAAGTTGTTTGCATCTGGTTAATCCAGTCTACATCGTTTAACATTTCACTTTCGCTCAGACATTTTGCCTTGTTCTTCAAGTTGCGTCATTACTAATGCTACTCGAGACCATAGAAAACGTCACACACTGATTTAAAAATTTTCATTGGAGCATTTTTTTCATGGTAAGATAACAACATCAATATTGATTGAAATGGACCGATATTAAATCGTAATGTCAAAGGTTATAGATCATATCTTTAAATAGATAGTTAAATCATAGATGACATCATAGGGGCATGTCTTGCTCACAGAACTGTCTTATACTCTATTTCAAGAATAGATCTCTGCCCCAAATTGCCGCCATATCCAACAATTAGTATACTTTCTCGGTTCACATCTGTTATACACAAAAAAGTCTAATTAAACCTTTTCAATTTTAATAAATGAAAGCAGATCTACATGTAATGTACAGATGAACTTCTCAAAATTCTCGAAATATACTTCGTGTTTTCGACTATAATCGTTGATTTAGAACTAAAAATGTTGGTCAAATAGCTTAGTGTCTGTTCTCAAGCGGAACTAATTGTAGACAGACAGTGTAAGTTTAGTATGGTGAAATACAGGACTGAATTGCCTTGACTCATGAGAAGTTGTCGTTGTGAGTTCGGGTTAGCTTATACATGTACATGTAGCTAGCAGTTTTAAGTTGTCTTATAAGTTCAGGTTAGCTTATACATGTACATGTAGCTGTTATAAAAATTGTTGTTGTTGTGAGTTCGGGTTAGCTAGTTATTGTAATGCGCATTACTGGTAGCTGTTATAAAAATCGGTTAAATCGTATGCTTAGCTAGTTTATTGATTATCTGTATATTTATTGAGAACTCAGGTTGTGTCTGATCTACAAACATGTAAATTTACATTGTTTAGAATATCTTTGTTATTGTTGTCAGTGGACACAGACTACAATGATAGATTTAACCATGAATCATTATTGACTATTTTTTTGCAATATCATTCTCAAAGAAGAGTGAACAGGTCAGAAAAAGTGATAAGACTAAGAGTAAACAGAGCAATATTGAACATTTATGGGGCTCAATGCATAAAAATTTATATTTTTGTTGGGGACGGGGGTGGGATAGGGCCTTCTATTTTTGTATTGGGCTATTATTTTAAACAAATAAAGCAAAAATGAAATAGTCATAAAATTATGATGTTTGGTTTTATGTAAAGTCCTTTAAAGGTCAATAGTCTATCTTTATGTTTTTGATAAGTTAAAGATGCATGTAATATGTGAAGTTTAACAATTAAATAGATATCGAAAATTATCAAGGTTAATAAAAAAAATCTACACTACATTTTTTCAAACCACTCATAACTTCAAACAGATTAAAGTAATTTGGTTGAAATTTTCAATATTCATTTTTCATTACTTATTTTTTGACATGGTATAGTAACAAGAGCCAGCTCTTTATCTAAATCCTGGGAGCCAAGGTGGCTCAGTAAGTAAGATGTTGGCTCGCTAACCTAGAGGTCCCTGTTATACACGATGTAGATAACAGATTTTTCAGAGGGTTTGGTAAGGGACATTGTATAGTCATTTGGATGGGACAAAAAACAAGGTCCTGTGTGCACATTGGCATGCACGTAAAAGACCCTGTGGCATTCGATATAAAAGTAGAACATAGCGTTGGTGTCCGAGCAAAATTTCTCTTC